TCTTTTTTAATAAATGATATTAATACTTTTTGTATAGCTAAGATCTTGTATTATATCTATAATAAAATATTAATAATGATAACTATTAGTATATATTGATAAATATTGATAGATATTAGTTTATCATTTTTATCATTTATGTTATATAATTCTTTTTGTTAGATATTCAGTATGAATTTTTAATATTTTCCTTATGAAAAGTCTCAAAGATCTCAGTAGATATTCTATTTATCACTTCATAATATCAAATTGCAGAAATAATATAATATCAGAGTACATGATTCTTAGGTATTTTACATTGACTAGAAGAATAATTTGCAAACATACTCACAAATTCTTGATAAAAATTAATGATCAATGTCTATTTATGAAATAGTAATCTGTATACAATTAACTTCCATTAATTCATTCCTCTTTAATTCAGATTTCTGATAATCCAGACATTTAACACCAAACTCTTTTTTTAATATCTGATTTCTTTCTTTTATTCGTCTGATACTTATGATATTATGATAATTTGATTCAGATAGCTATTATAGATCAACTGTATAAATTAAGTATTGTAAAAGACAACTTTAATTCAGCCATTAACTATCATTCCTATGTATGATAAACTAGAATTCCTAATACAGTAAAATTATTCTAATGTTAATTTGAATACTTATTTCAAATTCACTCAGACTCTTAATAAAATCTAATCATTCAAATTACAAATGAGTTTGATAGATTATTACAGAAGTGATATTATTAAAAAATGTTTCAAACCATATACTTATTTAACTATCATACAAAAGAAGAAAATATGTCAATATCAAAGAGATAATCCTAATATATCCTATCATAATCTGGTAAATGAGTATAGAGTAGGAAAATCAACAATACAAGATATTATTTTTCAGTCAAAAAAATGGTTAGCTATTGATATTAATGAGATATCTATGTACTATCTGAAAAATAAATCTCCAAAATGGCCAAACTTAGAACAAGCATTATGGTTATGAATGATAATAATAATTAAAAATAATCTTTTACTGACAGAGGAAGCTATCATTACTAAAACTTATATTTATGCAGACTATTTAGGGATAAAGAATTTTAAAGGAAGTGATGGCTGATTAACCAAATATAAAAAATGGCATAATTTGCATAATATCATATGGCATGATGAATTGGCTAGCGCACCCTCTGCAGAATTTATCAATAATGAAAGAATATGTCTTCATACTAAATTGGCACCATATAACCTAGATAATATATATAATGCTGATGAGACAGGACTTTTTTGGACCATGGAACCTTCAAGAACTTTGTCTAATTGCAAGATTAATGGTCATAAAAAAAATAAAAGTAAAGTCTCCATTCTATTAACAATGAATGCTTCTGGCACTAATAAGTTGTTACTAGTATTTATATATAAATACCAAACTTCTTTTTCTCTCCATCATGTGAATAAAGCCTTACTTCCAGTACAATATTATTGGAATAGTAAAGCGCATATGCAAGTAAGTTTATCAATGATATATGTATAGCATTACTATTATCTGTATTAAATCAATTTCAAAATAGGTATCTATATTTAACGATTGGTTAAGATGGTTTGATTAATGGATGAAACACCTGAACCGACATGTTATTCTCCTCTTAGATAATGCAACCGTGCATAAAATTATTCCTGAAAATGAGCCAACTAATATAACCGTTAAGTTTTTGCCTCCTAACACTACTTCGATATTACAGCTAGCTGATGCTGGAATTATCCATAGTTTTAAAGCACAGTATAGAAAATTATTCATCTAGTATCAGTTGCAATTATTTGATGATATCATGGAAAGTAATGAGCAGAATGGAATCAGTAAATATAATATAAAGCATGCTATCTATAATGTTTCTAATGCATGGAATAATGTCTCTATGGAAACAATTCAAAACTGTTGGCGTAAGGCCAGAATCCTTTCTATACCATCTCCCGAATGCTTCTTCAACTTTAGTAGTATTAACAATGATAATACACAAATAAATGAATGTGCGCAAACATCTTTTGATGAGATAATAAGTCAGGCTAGTGAGGAGATTGAAGAAGAGGCAAATAACCAACGGATATTAATTCAGGATTTAATCAATCAACTACATTTACCGGATTCATTATCTGCTGATGATAAGTGACAAGAACTTGAGTTCGTTCTGTTATAAATATCCATGTTAACATTATATTCAATGTAGAATTCATTCTTGTCGATAATATGGAGAGTTCCGTCAGGACGTTAAATGACGAAGATATTATTCAGGAGGTTCTAAATCATAATAACGAACTCGAAACAGAAGATAATTCTGATGTAGAAGACATAAAAATTTCATTGAAAGAAGGGGAAGATGCATTAAAAAAGTCTTTATTATTTCTTGAACAACAGGATAGTGATAACATTAATATTCGTGTAGACGATTTATCAGTCGTTCGTCGACTCATTAGTCAAGTTTCATGTTATCGTAGGTTACAGTATAAACAATCTTCCATCGAAAATTATTTTCAATAAAAAACTGCTTACCTCTTTTGTGCGACCCTAAATCGATTATTCATCTAACCATGTTAATTCGTCCAAAACCCTCGGAAAGTTGGTGTCCGAATTAACGGAAGTTGACTGTAATTTGAACGATTAGATTTTATTAAGAGTCCGAGTGAATTTGAAATAAGCGTCCGAATTAACGTTGGAATAATCTTACCGTATTAGGAATTCTAGTTTACCATACATAGGAATGATAGTCAATGGCCGAATTAAAGTTTTCTTTACAGTACTTAATTTATACAGTTGATCCGTAACAGCTGTCCGAACCGAATTATCATAATATCATAAGTATCGGACGAATAAAAGGAAGGAATCAGATATTAAAAAAAGAGTCCGGCGTTAAATGTCCGGATTATCGGAAATCCGAATTAAAGAGGGACGAATTAATGGAAGTTGACTGTACTCACAAGATATTTCTTAGGGAAAACTACAATGTAAAAATGAGATTTCCAACGGGATTTTCTGAAGAAACAAAAAAACAAGTTGCTTTATGGGGTGACATTATTCAAAATAAACATAGGAATGATGACGATGAAATTTTTTGTAACGACCCATTATTAATTATTGAATACAATCAAGCGGGTCTCACCAGTCGAAATATCACAGAAGCTAATGTTGCTGCCGGTATAATCATAAATATTATATAATCTATTTCAAAAAATTATTCTAACTTTATTTTCCGGATTAGTAATTAGAGGAACCCCAAACTATATTCCTATCGCATTTCCAACGGTACACCCACCACAATCAAATTCTGTCATTGCATTTAACAGTATGCAAACATTGGACGATGCTATCGATCGATTATTTGGAGCCTATCATAACCTTATAACAGGACGGCAAGATCCTGTTGTTGGACGAGTATATGTGGTGGAGTTTCGTAGGGCTAATACATTTGATGTTTCTGAACGACGACGTGTTTTTAATTGATATAATCATCGTTTACTTTTTTATCTTTAGTTTAATATTATATCATTAGCCGTTTGAGGGAAATTCTGATACTTTTTTGCATTAAAGTAGTTAGTATTTTAAATGTTGAGCTTATACTATTTGTTAATTCTTAGTATATAAATAAAATAATTATTTTTGCGAGATCTATGTTCACTGAAAAAATAATTACCTAATTAATAAAACAATGTATTTAAATTTTGTTTACTTAATAAGACCCAATTCTCGAAGATCAAGTATCTCGACCTTTTTCAGGTTCAGAATTCGTAGACTCAGCTGGCGATATATTTTTTGTCTTGCGTTTTTGTCTTAACTCAATTTCCTTCTGTAAATTTAATGGAGTGTCAAATCTTAAACGAATTGCTAATGGATCATCTTCTGGTCTATCTAAATCAAATACAATAAATTCGCCTTTGCGTAAGTAGCTGTTAATAACCATTGATGCATTCTTAACATCATCAGTATATCGTCCAATTATTTTGGACACGTCTTGATAAGAACTGCCCCCGTTAAATATTACTAGATGGGATAAATTCTCACGAATAATTACTGGGACATGATGATATTTTTGTGTTACATAGATTGGGCTTATATTTCGATGACGCCCATGTGTGAAGAATGGAATAATTCGGTTTTGGATGGACTCTGGAGCAACACATAAATCCTCAAAAACAATTACAGTACTTCTCTCAGGTGAAAATAACTTTACGCTAGGAATTTTTTCAGGTGAGATATATTTAAATCTAATATTTTCATAGTATGGTGCTCTTGGATCACTTGCAATTACTCCATACATATATCTAACAAATGTCCATTTAGATTCATCTGGGTGATATCCACAAATTATCAAATCATCACATCATATATAGCGGGATCTACCCTTTTTCTTTTTATATATACATTCATCTTTGTCACCAACAAAAATATTTCCAAGTATATTAGTTTTACCTGTATCACTCTTACCACTAACTACCTTACTGAAGGGCCATGACATTGCTGGATGTCTAACATTTCAAATTGATTCATGTTTATTAGCTTCATCTATATCCATAAGATAAAGTTTCATAGGTGATAGAGTGAAACTCATTTTCTTTGAAAATAAGCTCGATGAGTCATGATCCTTGATTCACCCTTCAGACTTGTTCTGCAATAGTTCTTTCTTTTGATTTTTTTGTATATCAGATTGGAAATCCATAACTATAATTTCTATAAACTGGATAAAAAATTTCTTTCTCTCGATAATTCACTTCACTTTATTCATTCATGGTCAGTTTAGGCACATTAGTACTCTCACTCTGTGAGTATATTACAGAAACAAATTATTGGAAGTGGTCATATGGTGACTATAATCTGGCTTCGAGTTCAAAGAATAAGAAGATAGGAGTGGATGAAAAATATTCTTATATATATACCAAATAATTAATATCATTATTATTATAATAATGACAATTTTAATAAAAGGAAAAATCTAATACTTATTATTAACTAAAGCCTCACCAGCGTATACTGTCTCTTTTATTATAATATCTTGAATTAATAACTCCGGATTCTGCTTATTTGTAATATCTTGAATCAATAACTCTGAATTCTAATTATTTGTGATAATTGGTAATGTTTTACTTTTAAAATATTTTGCAAGACTTTTATGACTTGAAGAGTTACTCTTAAAGGGCCTGCAAAGTAATGACCCTTTGGGTTTAGATTCAGATATATCTCTAGAATTTGATATGAAACTTTGTTCCTCGCTTTGCATATTTTTTTCCTCATCTCTCATAACTATTGTAGAGTAATGAGTCTTTGACTCTACAGGATCTAATATATCCTTTATTTTCTGTGAAACAGAGCGTAAAGTATCTAAATACTCAATTTTTTTAATTTTTGAAGCTAATTCATCTTTTGTATTTATTAGTTCATTCTTTATATTCATTAATTCAGACTTGAGAGAATGATCTTAAATTCTTTTTTTACTAACTCTTTCTGAGTTGAGAATACATTCTTCTGAGCTGATACTAACTTACTATTTAATATTTTGTTTATTGACTGGAGTGATTTTATTTTTTTCAATCAAATGATATCCTTGGCTCCATATTCAGCATTGGAAATCTGTAATTGATTAATTTGAGATATTAAAGTATTTAACTCTGAGCTCAATCACTTAATCTCATCTATAAGCTGATAGGTATACTTGAAGAGTTTCTCTTTATCATTATTAGATTATTTTAGATCACGTTGTATATACTTATTATCTTTATCTAAGACAGAACATTTATTGGCAAGTCAATTATCACACTCTATAGCAATTTTTCAATCTCGATTTGCATAAGCAAGCTGGTTTTCAAGTTCTATTCAACTAGGTGGATATCAGTTTGATGATATGTCTTCAAGTTTTTTATATTCACCTATATCTGATAATATATGGATTTGAGATATATTATCTAATTCTTATAGATATCTAAAAAAATTAATATATTTGTATTTTGAATATATCATTATATTTGATTTGATTTGACTACTATTTTTTTGGATTGATTTTCAAGTACCATTTTTCCAAATTGAGATGTCATTTATCTAATTTCATCTACTTTTGATTCTATTCTATCCATTCTAGCAGATTGATTTGTTTTTGAAAAGGTTTTTTAGGATAATGTGAATCTAAATCTTCATTACTATATATACCTAAATCATTAAAGTATTTCACTACATAATAATTTTTATAATCTTCTTCTGTTTTTAAATTTGATGGAAGATCTCTTGGCTATCTAACCAGTTCAATAGTTTGTGGAACTGGTGTCTGTATTTTCTGTGCTTTTGAGAATTGAACTTCCTTTCTTAATTTTTCTATCTCAGCATTATAATTAGATTTTTATTTCGCTAATGCCTCATCAATCATTTTTTATGTATCAGATATAGGAAATACTGATTGCAGAATTATAGGAGCTTCTATTATTTTGGTATTATAGGAAGATTGTTGAGAAACTTAATCATTCAAATTTGGTGTGCGCTCCAGTCATATATTTTTTAGTTTGATAAAAAATATATTAATGTCTACTGGATTAGCAATTCTTATCCAAGTATAAAAATTACCTGTCAAATAGCTTTTTAGGAATCCTAAAACTTGTACATCATTGTCTGCTACTCCTAATAATAATGATCAAATTCTAGCTTCATAGGTATCTGAAGTATCATAGGACTGATATTTTTTCTGAGTCAATCTTTGAATAGCTGATTATTAATTTCCAATAGTTTCCTGTTGGTATTTTACTCTTAATCAACCTCGTAATATATCTGGAGAATTTATAGCTGGATTTCCTACTACAAGATTATTATTTAGTGATACTGGAGCATATTTTCCACTTATCATAGATTTTAAAATATTATACTTAACTGCATTATTAAAATCCTCTGCATTTGCATTCTCAAGAACTAACATATGTCCTTCAAGATATGTCCATGACTGAATAATCTTATTCAAGTATTCATCAGATGGTTCTTGATCTATGTAAGGCTAAAATTTTATTAAAGCAGGTGCCATTAATTTTAATACTGGTAAACGTCTTACTTCTGCCATATTTAATAGTAGATTATTCTGTAGTAATAAAATTTGTTCCCATAAATTTAAAATTAATTGCTCAGCATTTTTTCACTTTTCCTATTTAATATCAAGTTGTATATCACATAAATATAAATCATTTTTTAATGTATCTATTTTGATATAACATTGTTGTAATTCTAAAAAATACTACTGGCATACAACTCTTTCATTATTATATGTAGTAGTTATTAAGTTAAGATCTTCTTGAGTTTGTGTTAACTCTATTTGACATATATCTCATTCTACTTCTGCATTATATCTTCGTTATTACTCATTTATAAGATCTGTTTGAAGATTGTTATATTTGTGACATATCTGTCATGTTACTCTTTTTATTTGATTGGATAAAATTATTCTATTTGTTCCTGGATTATTCAAATAATCATCAATGGTATTGGCTAATTCAGCTATTATTGTCATATCTGGATCAGATGTATAATTATCTTGAGAATTTTTATCTGATTCATATTCATTTTCTATATTCCATGATAAATTTTTGATAATTATATTAATCCAAAGTTATGAGTGAAGAAATAAAGTTTTGAATCTCTGATTCACCTATAATTTATATTGATATACATATACAAAGGGCTCATGATCTTGATAGAAAGATTACATTACAGAAACTATATTACCAACCTGAAGAGTACTATCAAACTGTTGAAAAAATAAGAAATACTTGCAGAAAAGCTGGTTATAATTTTTTATTAGCAGATATTAAAAACTGGTTAAATAAACAGATAACTTTTTTGGTTCATAAATCTCAACCAAAATTTATTCAGTATACTTCTTTTAATAATATACAGAGGTTAAATGAAATGCATCAATCTGATCTTACTCCTATGTCTCATGATAAAATTAGTAATTGAGTTTTTAAATACAGACTTGTAATAAAAGATGTAGCAACTAGATATCAAAAAAGTTATGCATTAACTAATAAATCTGCTTTTACTGTAGCAAAAGCAATTAAGAAAATTTATTATAATTCTAATAATCCCCTTTCTTGACCTAATATTTTTAGAACTGATAAAGGTACTGAGTATTTAGCTGAGTGTAAAGATTTATTATTAAAATATGGTGTATATTTTAATCCCAAAAAATCTAAATGTAACAATGCTATAGCAGAATGTGATCATTAAGAATTTGAAAAACATGCTTTCATTCATTAAGATGCTGTAGATTTTCATTTATCTTTGTCTGATAGGTCTAGAGCATAGGTTAAAGATCTTCATATTAATGATGATACTTTTAATAATACTCTGACCCAATTAATTCATATATCACCTAATGAAGCTGTAAAGAGAGCTTTGAAAGATGAAAAGATAATTACTGATCCATCTGTAAAATATTGAAGACCTATTGGGTTTGATGAATCTCAGTTAACTTATAA